ACCCACTTGCTGATGCCAATACCTGATGAAGGAAAAACAATTGACTCATGTTAATTACGAATAGTTGCCATGCCAAAAGTAGATTCAAAGCAGATTCAAAGACTTGAATTACCTGGTGCATCAAAATGACTAAGATATTCTCTACTGAAGAGCCTGCCACAAAGACTTTGCACTTGAAACTCCAATAATTTGTGATGTTTTGAGAGAATTCTACAGTAAATGATGACAAAATACATGTACTTTGTCAAAAGAGCATTTCACATTCTATCCTAATACATGTATGAATCTGCTGTCTGGGCACTGAAACTAAACACTTCAATAGGCTCTAATCTCAATGTCTACACTAGCAATGACTAGGATGTCTGCAGCACTTCAGGTGAGAAATTTGTCATTAACGTTTAGACCTGTACATACGTGGAATTTGTTTTATCCTGAAATACCTAATTTTTGGTACAGAATCCAAAGATGGATTATTTATGACTGATTGACCTAGACTAAGAATTATACTCTATTATGATTTGTTTGGACTTTTAACTAATAAAAGTTAAACGACAAAAAGTTATCAAAATTGCACAACATGCCCAACAGTTTTAGAGTGCCTGGTGAAGTATGATGTTTGTACATTAAAACCTATCCAATTTCTTATCACAATACCAACTTTTCCACTTTGGATAATTTTCTGTTTGAAATTTTGTTAAGTACTGATATAACTGTTGCCTAAGAGCAGAAACAAAGTAAGAATGGTTGGCCTCGTCTCAATGCTATGACAGCAACAATAAGAACTTTGCTAGCTGAAGTTCTTTGACCCTCCATGCTAACTTCGATGTTTAAATTCATTATCACTCTTGCCACTCTGTTGATCATATGAAAAGTGTGGAAACTGCTCCTCAGTCAACAAATTACTACATGCATGAATACATTTTGTTTCAGTTAGGCTCCAAAAACCACTTTAAAAAACAGACGGCTCCCAACACTGATAATTCCACAGAATTTCATAGTTCTATGCCAACGATTCCGTATGCACTTACCTTTTTTTATTAATGTGCATACCAAAACATTTCCTTTCACCGGAGCAAACCAAATTTGATCATGATTTCCAGCATATTTTTGTGCTTGCTGTAATTGTGAATCTTGGAGCATGAAGCGTAGGTAACACTCATCGAATACTAACAGGTTAAAAAGCAAGCATGTAAGAGAATTCCTGTTACCTTGACCTCTTACTATCACTGGAGCACAACATTCCTTCATAGTGACATCAAATGGTGATCATCAACTACAATCCTGTGCAAAAGAAATTTAAGTATTACTTCGGTTTCAACAACAAAATGCGATTACTCTTGTCAGGTTGGTGATCACTTGCAAGGTACGGGAGCTGCTGATTGGTTAAATTGGTGAAATTACTGCATACAGGTACATGTATATAACACCCTGCATAGTTGTCAGTTTGCCTCTGAAAAATTCCACTGTGAAAAAAACAGATGGCTACCAATCTTCTGATAACTTCACAGAAGTTCACAGTTTTTTGCATTCAACTTCATGTTGGTCTACACCCCTGTTTTTTTTTTACTTATTTCAGGTACAAGCTAAAACATTTCCGTTTCAGAGTAGGAAATCATAAAATCATAATTTCCAGCAAAAACCTTTATTGCACTGTAAACCCTGTAAATGCATTTCTTGTGGCATGAATTACAGCGATTCACTTACTGAGATATATTTGGTCATGTGGTTGTCATGTGACCTCTGATTTTAAAAGAAGCTCCAACATTCCTTCCTTGTGTCATTGACCACAATTCTCTGCAGTAGCAGCATTAAGATGGTTGCATTAAAATATGAAATCGGTCGAAAGAAACCGGAAATGGTTGAAAATGAACAAAAATTACAGGCTTTATCTCAGTTAGAAGATCACTCATCAAGCAAAGATATTCTACAAACAAAAGACCTAGCCTTGGTAATTTGTGTACATGTAGGTCTCCAAGTAGCTGTGGGGTGTTGCATATTTGAAAAGATCATAATGCCAAAAATACATAGACCCTTTAGGGGAGAGGAGTCCAACGGACTGACAGGTTGAGACACCACAAATCCTTGCTGTTGACTGTTCATGAATTATTCTTCCTTGACTAATTTCTTGCAAACCTATTTTGCTCCTTGTGGGCAGGGGCTGTTCATTTACTTTTGGGGGATATGATTTTTCATAAAGACACTTCACTCAATTTTTAACTGGACAAATATGACAAAAATAGCACTATTGTGCTACAAACATAAGCTGCTGGACAGTGCCCTCTATTGGCCAAGGTGTGCAGCTTCCTATGGATCAAGTACAAAGACTGATATACATGCAGCTATGTCTCTTTGCTTCACTGGTGTCCTATCCCTAAGAAAACAATTTAGTACATGTACATGTAATTCATTTCAGTAAATCAATAAAAAGGGGAATAATATGGGAATTATTCCGCCACCAAAAGATTGCTACGGAAAGGCCTTTTTTGCAGTGCACTGTAGGGAACATTATTTCTAATGTTTGTTTGTCAGGGAAGATTCATAAGTGTATTTCGAGAAGTAGTTTCAGTTAATCATTTCTTCTTTGTAATGCACAGAGTGTTCCAATTTTCCACAAATTTCTAAAATGCAAATAGCCACAAGCAGCCATGCTTTTTTCAGCCGTAACTTGATCTTGAAAAAACAGCCTCTCAATGGCAGCCTCTTGGTAGTGCATCCAGTTGCTCCTATTTACAGTGCAATACACTTTACTTAAATAACGAACAAAATGAAGGTCAAAGTACCACCAGTAATAAAATCATCTGGTTGGCCATCTTTCATCCAATCATGCCAATAGCATCATGCAGTTTGCACGATCGATGGCTTGCTTCGAACAGGGTTCTCCTTCCTCCCACCCTCTGAGCTCCGCCTCTGCAGCGCCCTCATGGACCAGTCTTTGACATTTCATCCTCTCTGCACGGGTCCGCTCCACTCAGACAACAGGGATCCCACAGTGCCACAGATCATCTGGAACCCGGTCCAGGAATCATAGAGGTGGCTGGCCTCTCGGATAGGAACCCAACACTGCCCCACTGAAAAATAATAATGAAGCTACTGAATGACATTAACAAAAATAGCTAGGGATAAAAATAACCAGAAATACAGCAGGCATGTGCAGTTCTAACAGCCTGAACAAACTGCTCAATGTAATCAACAATAACAGCAAAATATTTAGAGATGGAGATGTGAAATAAAAATGAACAATTCTGCACCCATGCAACTACATGTACATGTACAT